CCTTTTGTTGAGTGCTCGTCATTTTACCAAGGACAGCTTCTCTAATCTTGGCTTTTATCTTCGTTGGCTTCTTCTGTCTTCTTAATTTGCACTAACAAGCTCTCCGAAGCACAACCTTTAAGTACGATTGATACGTTATGTGTACATATTCAATTGAGTGCTCAAAATATCAAGTTTGTGTGCTAATATGTGATGTACACCTAGTGCAGCTTTAGGTTTCCAGGTAAAGCACGATATTACTGTCTTACTGAAGTAGTTCTGATAAGTCGCTTTGAACCCCCTATTTCCTAAGAATGTGTCGATTATTGTAGACTGACGTTGTTCTAATTACTTCGTTTAATAATAAAGAATGTAGTGTAGTGCACAGACTTTATAATCATTGTTAAAATTGCTGTTTATTTTGCTGCACCGGCAGTTATAGGGTTAATGCGGGAGAGACAAGCGAGTTAGGCTGGTGCGCCTGTGATACAGCTGTTCTGATTAAAAAGTTAAGACAGAGCGTCTTTTGTCTGCCATTCTTCAATATTTTGGTTTACAAACTGTATTGTTTCATCAGTTAGTCACGTTATCACTCGGCTAACGTATCCACCATTATTGTTTTAAGTGTCCACAGTTTAGCAGCTAAACTTTAGCTGTGGGCATTCGCTTGCATAAGTGTTTTAGTATTTTATGTCATTATTATAAGAACGGATTGGAGCACTATATTATTGTTTTATGTAAAGGTGCTTTGTCAATGGTAGCGCTCGCTAACTTGCTCAAGGACTCCTCTCTGTGCCAATCACAACAGGCTTGGCCAGCTGATCATTCAGAGCAGAGTAGGCTTATGGAAGGGAGGGGTTTGCTCCGAACTTGCTTGGAACGAACCATTTAGAAATCATTGGCAAATGACTCTAATATTAAATGTATATTCTGATCAAATTACAATGTTTTCTGACCTTAGATGCATTTAAACCTGTTGTAGGGGACTCCAACACAATATTAGGACACTTTAAAATACCATATGACCTGCTCTTTAGATTCAATATCCAAAGCAATTTTCCAAAAAAATCTCTTGGTGCAATTTGGAGTTAAGGTACCTTGCTCAATTGTAACTTTAACCACTGCGTTCCCACCATCCATGGGTGTTAAGCTGAATTTTTGTTTCTGAATTTTGTTACTCCAAAATAATATGTCTGCAGATTGCAGGTTTTTGCTTTTAGCAAACTCGAGACATGATGTTGTAATTGTGGCCTCACTCAGAAGTGGCTTGCCTCTAGCCACTCTCCAAAAGAGGCCAAACCTGTGTAGTGCTGAAGTGGTTGTTGATGCCTGGGCAGCCAAAGACCTCTGGAGCTCTGTCAGATAGAAACTGGCCTTTTGGTTTCTTCCCTGACAACTGCCCATCTGGTTGAACAGCTTGATGTAGTATCTGCAATCGTAGTGGCATTTTCTAATCTTTCTCTTCTTTATAGTGTCATCTCAAAGTTCCTAAGGAGTGTGATGTGATTACAGCATATCTGATGTGAACTTTTTTACGTGAGGCTATATTTACACCTGGAATGATCCTGGTTTAACCATATATTTGATTGACAGGTCCTTCACAGTTGCCCAAGACGCATCAAGACATATTAGTGTTTACACTGTGATGTGGTCGCATGCTGCAAATGTGGTTTGAGTGGATACAAAATGTTTCTGAGCACACCATATAATTAGTCAAGTCACTCAGGACTATTCACACAATTTCAGATATTAAATAGTGTCTGGAGATTATCAAAATACTGTGTAAAATTGAAAAAAAAAATCTAATTTAGACCTCATTTTGATATGCTGCATCAGGGTGTAATTGCATTCTGAAGGCACAGATGAATATGACTGTATGAAGTGTGACTATACAGGTAACGGAAGCCAAGATACCTATTAGCCTATATTCCTCTATCTTTGGGTACTTGCTGTTTGAGAAGTATGTTGCTTATAAAGTGACATAATCCTTGTTATGTAAGTAAATATTGACCTGTGTAAGCTTTGTAAGTATTGATTCTTACCGTATACAAATGGTTCCAATCCCTTTTCTTTTCCATCTGATGGAAAACAATAAGAAATTACACATGAAGACATTTGCTTACTATATATATATATACACTGTATATATATATATATATATATATATTGTAAAATAGTAATATGTAGTGATGTGGTAAATGAAATAAAGCATAACTTGCCTTGGCCAGCAGATTCAGACAAAGCTAAGACAGAAGATCAATACAGAAGCAAAAACCATTGTGAGAAAAGAGAAAAACAGAGAGGAATCATTAGTATTATGGATCTGTACATTCACAAAAACATCCAATAACTGAAACAAGAGTGTTGCATTATGTTATTTGTTTGTGGTGGGTGTTTTTGCTTGTTGAGAAAGATCACAGAGCCCTAAGCTAGATGCAATATTGGCAGGAATATGACATTGCCTAATGAATGTATGATCCGATTCAGGCATAATAAAAGGGGTTTTTTGACTGGGTCAATACAATTTGTTGTATATCAAACTCTAAGAATCCATTAGACTAAATCGATGCCTGTGCAAAAAGACAAAACGCCATTGCTTGTGAGAAAATTATTGGCATATATGAATCCATAAAGAACCTTTCACAACTATTTTGGAATCTTTATTTTTAACAATGTATGGTTTATTTACCAGAAAAGTCAATCTGTCAATTTTATGGTAATTTACAGATTTTGGAATGAAGGAAAGAAGAACAAAGAAGAAACAATGAAAGGAAGGAATGGAAAAAAATAGGAAGGAAAGAATGGAAGAAATATTGTGGTTGCAGCAGTGTGAAAGATAACCAGATAAAAACATACTCGGTTACAAACGTAACCTCGGTTCCCTGAGATACGGGAACGAGTACCGTGTCTTGCTGAATACGCTATGGGAAAAAGTCATTTTTTCTCCTGAAGAGGTCTACTTCCGTCTTGCCAAAGATTGGTGTTTTTGCTTGTTGAGAAAGATCACAGAGCCCTAAGCTAGATGCAATATTGGCAGGAATATGACATTGCCTAATGAATGTATGATCCGATTCAGGCATAATAAAAGGGGTTTTTTGACTGGGTCAATACAATTTGTTGTATATCAAACTCTAAGAATCCATTAGACTAAATCGATGCCTGTGAGACAGGAGGGAAAACTCATAATGATTAAAATCTTACTGATTTGTCTTCACTGTAGTACTAAAATAAGTTTAAAAATGATTTTCTAGCAGTCTATGATGGAATTTGTGCTTTTAAAATTGTCTTAACTTACGCCATATGTTGTTACAACAGAGACTATATACTAGACTAGAATCACCTTCAAACTGGAATGAGCATTTAAGGAGTTAACAGTCTTAAATACAAGCCTGGCAGTTTATTAAATCAAATCATCTATGAACAAATCTATTAATATGACATTCGGCAGTGGATAATTTGACAGGTGAAGGTATTTATAGCTTTATTGCTCTCTTGATCATTTGATGGGAAAAAAACATTACAAAAAAGGTTGATGGAAAATAACATACATATAACAGAAGGAAGGAAGAAAGAATGAAGGGAAGGAAATGACAGTGAAGGATGGATGGATGAATGGAAGGGAGAATGAAGAGAAGGGAAGGGAAATTACAGGAATAAAAGGACGGTGGAGGAAGGAAGGAATGATGGATGGCAAGAAAGAAAATGTAGGGAGAAATAAGGAAGGAAAAGGGGAACAATGAAGAGAAGGAAAGGGCAAAGAAGGATGGAAGGAAAAAAATCAATGAAGGGGTGAAAGGGACAGTAAAGGAAAAAATAAAGAAAATGGATGGATAGAAGGAAGGAACTATGCAGGAAAAAAGAAAGAAGAACCAATAAAGGGAAGAAAGGGACAGTGAATGAAATAATTTAAGAAGGGAAGAAGGAAGGAGCATATAAAAGAGGGGAGAAAATAAAAAGAGGAGAAAAAAAGAATGAAGGTCAGGAGAAGACCATGAGAGGCTTTTGCATGTACAAACTTTGTTGGAAAATGACTGGTAAATTACCGTTTTGAGATCGTTTGAACAGGATCTTTCATTTCTGGCAATTTTCTAAGATGAAAAATGGCAAAATTACCAGTAAATTGCCATTTTTATGCTATGCGTGAACAAAGCATAATATTCCAGATGAGCATTTACAAAGTTAAGACACACTGACATCTGCTTTATAAGTCTGCTTTGGACCAATTATAACATTCTGAAGGAGATGACGCGATTACTCCACTTTCTGTTGGTCAGCGAGGTGAATCTTTGTGACCAACTTGAACCTGCTGCGAAATCTGTAGAGAAATATTTACTACTGAAAATGACTCAATTTTAACCACACAAATTTGCTAAACAATGGTAAATATTACTAGACTTCTCTCTGCTTTCGACCAATGGCCGAACGTCAGTTTCCCTTCGCACAGTGCTCCCCAACCCGTGTTGGAAGCATCTGTCGAAAACACCTTCCTACTGCAGACCATTCCCTGGGGAACGCCCTGTTCCATCCACTGAGCATTCAGCCATGGGGTCAGGGCCGTTACGCAGGCCTGATTTACCCTGATAAGCAGGCGTCTGTGACGCCACGCGTGGGACGGAACACGTGGTTTCAGCCAGTGCTGATGGGGACGCATACGTAGCAGGCCCAATTCTAGCACTGGAGACGCTGCAGCCATAAGGCCTAGCAGCTTCTGTTATGTCTTGAGGGGGCGAGAGGCACCAGCCTTGAAGGAGGCCGTGAGCTGCTGTATGGTCAGAGTGCATTCTGTTGTGACCACTGCTCTCATTTGAGTCGAGTCGAACACTGTTCCCAGGAACGAGATTCATTGGCTGTGGGACTCTTGGCAAATTTCACTCTGAGCCCCAGGCATTCTAAGTGGCTGAGGAGAAGGGCTCTGTGAGATAGTGACTCCGCCTCTGACTGGGCCAGAACGAGCCAGCCGTCGAGGTAGGTGAGAATGCGGATTCCCTTCTGCCTCAGAGGGGAAAGAGACGCATCCATGCACTTCGTGAAAGTGTGTAGAGCCAGGGACAGCCTGAAGGGAAGGACTGTATAATGATAAGCCACTCCCTCGAAGGCGAATCTCAAGAATGGCCTTTGATGGGGGGCTATCTGGATGTGAAAGTAGGCGTCTTTCAGGTCCAGAGAAAAGAACCAGTCCTCTGGGCAGATTTGCGAGAGGATCCTGTAGAAGCCTGACTCGCTCTGGGCCGGAGGAACCACATCTATGGCTCCTTTTTCCAGCAGATTCTTCACTTCGGAGTGCAAGACGTGTGCGTCTCTGCTCTGAACCGAAGTGGGGACCACTCCGCTGAAGTGCAGGGGTCTTCGAGTGAATTGAAGTGTATAGCCTCGCTTTATTATCCCCAGAACCCACTCTGACACTCCGGGGATGGCTTGCCATGCCTTGGCCCGGGAAGACAGGGGTTGGATTGGTTCGAGTGCCTGGTCGCTGCAAGGGGACACGGTACTCATGAGAAATGGAAGAGGAAAACTGCTCTCTTTTTGAAAATGTTTGTGTTATATTCTGCTCGCTATAACAGCGGATCGCCTCTTGGGTGCTTGAACGGGCCCAGAGTTTGCAGCAAACACATTGCCGACTGCACCCGGAACTGGACAGGGTGATTGGCGGCTCACGAGAGGCAGCTTGGGGGGGTGGTCTGGCTGCAGCGAGACTTGGCTCCCTCCTCTTTCTGTCCCTTAGATCAGGACGACGCTGGAGGCGCCGGATCTTAGGCTATCTTAGGCCGGGGTCCCTGGCGCTTCGGAAACGGGTAGCATCTGGCCAAGTGGGAACGTCGTTGAGGCTCAGGTTTGGTTGGCTGGGCGGCGGTGGCAGCCGCAGGTGCAGGCTTTGTTGGCTGTTGAGTCGGCGCAGACTTGGGGCGACCCGAGGCAGCTGCAGAGCTGGAGCGTTTCGGCAGGAAGTGTCGCATAGCCTGGGACGTTGTGAACTTTTGAGTGAAACGCTCAGTGAAGCCTTCGACCGCTGGCCCGAACAGGCCATTGGGAGAGACTGGGGTGTCAAGGAACGGGACCTTGTCGGCGTCCTTGATCTCCATTAAAGTCAGCCATAAGTGGCGCTCAAGTACCACCAGGCTGGCCATGGAGCGTCCTATAGCCTGAGCCGTGGCCTTGGTGGCATGCAAAGCCAGGTATGTCGCGCTTCTCAGCTCCCTGAGTGTTGCGGGGTCTGGGCCAGACTCGTCCGTGCTGGTGCTTGGCCTGGAAGACCTGGAGAACCACCATTGAGTGGAGCGCCGAGGCCGCTTGCCCAGCCAAGGAGTAGGCGCGTCCAGCAAGGGCTGAAGTCGTCCTACACGGCTTGGATGGATGGGCGGCCTTCGCCTTCCAGCTGATCGCAATGGGCGGGCAGAGGTGCGCGGCCACTGCCTCGTCGAGCAGAGGCAGCTTCTCGTACACCTTATTTTCAGTGCCGTCGACCGAGGTGAGGGCGGATGAAGTGGAAGTACGGAGGCATGCAGAGTATGGGGCGCACCACGATCTGGTGAGCTCGTCCTGGACCTCCGGAAAAAAAGGAGAGGATCGCTGATGAGGTGCTTGATGGCTCCCCGGCAGGAACCACTCATCCAGATGGCTGCGGGAGGGTTCTTCTGGTGGAGACCACTCCAAACCCAGCCCCTCGATGGCTATCAAGAGGATACGGAATAGTTCGGCGTCCATCCCGGGCTTGACATCGCTGGGCTTGGACGGTGGCAGGGGGGCGGGGTCTGCAGTTGAGCCCGACAGCTCCTCCGCGTCCGAGGCTACCAATGACATGTTGTCATCCAGCAGCTCGTCATCGCTCCCACCGAACGAGACCAGATCAAAGGGAAAGGGCAAAGGGACGCTGGTCAGGCTGGGCGAAGAGGACGGGGGACGCCTCTCTGTGCGGATAGAGCGAGGTATGCAGGACCTGAGCCGACGTAAGCTCGCTCGCATCTGAGCGCTGTGATCCTCTGCTCCACTGTTTTTTCCTCACAGGCTCCTGGGAGGAAGTAAACAGGAGGGCGCGAGGGGCGGAGTCGCTTTCTGGAAAGAAAGCTATCCATGAGCACAGAGAGGCGAGACACATGCTCTCACAATGGGAGCAGTCCGTCTCAGTGAGCGCGGATTCCGCGTGGGATTTCCCCAGGCAGGAAACGCACTCACGATGGCGTCATATACATCGTCATATACAGCCATATATGCAATAACGGCGTGGCATTTGCAACAACGCGCAAAAATTTGCTCTTTAGAAATTTCCTCTGATAGGGCTCGCCGGATGGTGGCAGGGGAAGCTGGATCACTGCTGCGCATTGCTGAAGGCGGCGGGAAAGGCAGGGAAATAAGCCGAGCAGATGACCACTGCGAGGCGTGTCAACGGCAAGCAGGCTCTTCAGTCAGTGGAGATCACGAAGAACGTCGTCGTCGCTGAAGGAGAAGAAATCTGAATCCTATGCACGAACCTATGGCCACGAAGCCCGACAAAGCCTGCCAGAATGGGTGGAGCCATCTGGCTATAAAAGCGGTTATATAGCCAGATGGCTCCGCCCATTCTGGCGGGCTTTGGCGGGCTTCGTGGCCATAGGTTCGTGCAGCACTGCTGCCGAGCCATTGGTTCGTCTTTAAAATGCACTGCACGAACCGATGGTCATGCAGTTACACTGCGTGATTGAAAAAGGCTTCAGTTCAGGAGAAAAAAGGACTTTTCCCATAGCGTCTTAAGCAAGACGCAGTACGAGTGAAGTATTGGTAGGGAACTAGTCTGACAGTCAGCAGTGCTATTAGCGGTGGGCGAGGGGTTTGTTGACAAAGCTGAAGGATAATTTTTTTACCAGTGTAGAGAGCTGTGTGTGTAGTGAGTATGAATCTGGTGCAAATGTGCTGGCAGTTTCATGTGGCCTAATTGTGGTTAGGGTGGAGTCTCTCAGAGGACTGAGATGGATGGGAGTGTTATTTAAATGGATGCTCTCATTTCACAAATGAAGTTTTTTTGGCAAAAGCAGGACAGCAATTCACAGACATGTAAAAGCACATATAAAGCACAAACACAGAGCTTTAGATGAGTCCATTTGAAGAACTATAGAGAGCGCACAGACATACACGTGATCCCAGATTAGAGAGGTCACTGATCAAATTCTCAGTTAAGAACTCTAGGATGGCGCTAATGTGTCATGTCATGGCTTTTCCAGTTATTTCCAATCCCAGCGGACACAGGGAGACTGGAGTGAAATGGAGGGGGGCACTTACCCGCCACATAGACTAGGAGGGAAAAAAGGAAGACCAGGACAGTTTCCATGGCAACTGCAATGGGGAGAGAGAGAGAAAGAGAGTGATAATCAGTGTTAGTGGGTTACGTGCTTACCACGTACAGAAAGACTAGAAGTTCTGACAAGCTCACATTATTTATAATCACTATTATGCTCTGTCCTTGACTGGCATGTTGTCGTTGTACCTATGCAATATTGAAAGAGCACAGTCAGAAAGCCTGACAACAGGTTGAATTTAGATTCCCTATAGACTCATAAATCACAAATACACATCTTGTGGTTTTTGAAAACTGTTCCCTGCTTTTTTTCTGCCATTTTATGAAATGTCTGGGTTAAAGTTGTCATAAAACAGCCAGGATTGGCTGGTATGTCCAAAATATTTATCACATTTTCAGTAATTATATTATATTTCACAATATAAACACAGACACTGTCATTCAAAAGTTTGTGATCGGCATTGTTATTTATTTATTTATTTATTTATTCATTTAATTAGTTAGTTAGTTAGTCTCTTATGCTCACCAAATTTGCATTAATCAAAAAATACAGTAAAACAGTAATATTGTGTAATATTATGACAATTGAAAAAAAAACTGTTGTCTGGTTTCATATATTTTAATTATATAATTTATTTATTAATTAATTTAAATAATTTATTATTTAATATATTTTAATTTTGAATTTGTATGTCCAAAATATTTATCACATTTTGAGTAATTATATTATATTTCACAATATAAACACAGACACTGTCATTCAAAAGTTTGTGATCGGCATTATTATTTATTTATTTATTTATTTATTCATTTAATTAGTTAGTTAGTTAGTCTCTTATGCTCACCAAATTTGCATTAATCAAAAAATACAGTAAAACAGTAATATTGTGTAATATTATGACAATTGAAAAAAAACTGTTGTCTGGTTTCATATATTTTAATTATATAATTTATTTATTATATAATTTAAATAATTTATTATTTAATATATTTTAATTTTGAATTTATTTCTGTCATGCAAAGCTGAATTTTCAGCAGTCATTATTTCAGACTTCAGTGTCACATGATTTGTCAGAAATCATTGTAATATGATGATATGCTGCTCAAGAAACATTTCTTATTTTTCTTCTTATTATTATATATACCATTTCTTATTATTACACATGTTAAAATTAAATGTTAAAAACATGTTAAAATAATAATAATTATTATTAATAAACATGTTATAATAATAATAATAATTATTATTATTATTATTATGATTATCATTATTATTATTATCATCATAATCATCATCATTATCATCATCATCATCATCATCATCATTATTATTATTGTTATACTTAAACCTTGTAGTTATGGGCGATACAGTAAGTTGAGTGTGAGAACAAAACAAAGTCAGTGACATGACATCATCTTTATCAAATGATAAAGGGTCTTAATTTACACTAGCTGTTGCAGATCACAATTAATAGCATGACTGAATTTTTTAACCACCCCTCTATAAGAGTTATCAGTTGTATCTGTCATATTAATAACTACTTTTAATCATTCACCCTGTCACTGATCCTGTGTCCCGTCAATTAATATGTTCTTCATATTGATATATAATTTGATATTAAACCTTCAACGGTGATCCCATTAGTATTTTACAAAATGTTTACACATGCAGTTATATATTTTGGATAGACAATGCATTGTACTTTATAAACTTGCTCTAAAATGCAAAATATAAAGGCTTTTAGTTTAGAGACGTAACCTATATTTATATTTACAAAAGTTATCCCATTTATTATAAATAAAATCAGTCTATTAATTCCTTCAATTCAATATTCTACAAACTTCAAAGAAACTGTAAGCATTTGTGCATCTCTAAAGTTGTTCATATGAACATTTTTGCATTTTACCTTATTTTAATATGTTTATATTGTACAGCTCGGAATCTGTGGAAACGTGCAAAATGCTAGAACCACACTTCACACACAAATTTGCCTTCAAAATGAGCTGTCTTACTGTCTCTATTGCCTTTTACTTTTTTTTTTTCTTTGACTTTCTGTCAGTGAGTGCTGTACTAACATTTGTTATAGAAGGACAAAGTCGTTTGTTCTGTGTCATGGGCAGGATATTGCTGGATTCTGCTGGCAGTCCCACAATCCCTATGACAGCTTTCAGGGACCCAGTCAGAGCAGTGTCATTTACTAGAACATTAAGCACTGGAGAGCCATCGACAAGAAAATGACACGGGGTAGAGCAGATTAACTGCCTTTGACCACAGGAAGGACATTTAGCCTTCTTCTCTGAGTGTTTCAAGAAATGGATTGTGTCACAGGAACAATATTTTCAAATGGACAATTAATTTACCAAATCACGACACAGTCATTGAGCTCAGCTTTCAAATGTATAAAAATCTAGCCATCACTCCAGCATGTGACGATTGTAGTTGTTTTTTTGTTTTTTTTACATCTTTAAGTTGTTATGGATATTTGTTCACCCATATGGGTGTCTTCACACACAAGAAAAATACATTTTTAAAACTAAAAATACCAAACAACCCTGCTGCTTCTCAAACCTTTAGAGCCAACCCTGCCATCACCACCCTGCTGTTAAGTAGGGCACCATTATCTCGAAATGGTGTCATGGTCAACCTGTAAAGGGAACCGGGTCATTCTGAGAAAATGTTGTTCCTAGGTCTAACTGATGAAATTAACATGATGCTGCTAATTGACACTGCACTCACCTAACTCAGTTTAGTGTGCAATGCAACACATATGGCCAAAATACAATACAGTTCAGTGCAAAATTATGCAAATATATATTGAAACCCAAGGAATGTTCCATTTGGTGTTTGAAATTACTTCACTCCTACTGCTATGCCACAAATTCAGAATATGTCACTAGTTTGATACTAGACCCTATTAATGGTTAAATAAATGACGGCTTGGGCTGACAAATTATTGCAGTAACAAAGAGCCAGTCCAATTGTGTGATATTGCTTTTACATAAACAGATCAATAAACAAGAAGCTGATACTTTGCTCCGCCGGTGAAAATAGTTATAGTCATTTCAACACGGAGTAACATGCAGTAGTGGTGTTCCCATTGAATCATTTACAGTAATTCAGTTTGAACTGAATTAAATGATTCAATGACTCACAAAGACAATTACTTACGACCATCTATTGGTGTAACACTTTAACCTGTATAAACAGTCAGTAAAATGTCAACAATAATGAAGAGACTATGGAAGCCTGTTTCCGCCACTGAATAAAAAAATAAAAAAGGTAATTGCGACTTTTTCTCTCACAATTTTTTCAACAATAATGAAGAGACTATGGAAGCCTATTTCCGCCACTGAATAAAAAAATAAAAAAAGGTAATTGCGACTTTTTCTCTCACAATTTTTTTACATCTTACAGAGTTTACATCTCAGAATTACGTAATATAAACTTGCAATTTTGGTTTTTTTTCTTAGAATTGTGAGATATAAACTCACAATTGTGAGTTATAAAGTCAGAATTGCGAGATATAAAGTCAGAATTGCAGGATATAAACTTGCAATTGTGAGAAATAAAGTCAGAATTGTGGGATATATACTCACAATTCTGACTTTATATCTCGCAATTGCGAGTTTGTATCTCAGAATTGAGAGTTATAAAGTCCAGTCCAAAAAAGACTGATATTCTCTCCAAATTGCGAGTTTATAACTCTCAATTGCGAGTTTATATCATGCAATTCTGAGAAAAAAAGTCAGAATTGGCAGTTTATATCTCGCCATTCTGACTTCATTTTTCACAACTGCGAGTTTAATTCTCACAATTCTGAGAAAAACAAAAATCAGTATTGCGAGTTTGTATGAGGCAATTGTGAGAAAAAAAGTCAGAATTGTGAGATGTAAACTCACAATTGTGAGAAAAAAAGTAAGAATTGTGAGATAAAAAGTTGCAATTACCTTTTTATTTATTTATTTTTTAGTCAGTGGTGGAAACGGGCTTCCATAACAGACTGACAGTTTGTCTAGAACGAGAAAACAACACAGACAAGCGAAACACCTTTGTGACCTTGTTTATGCAGATTTTTAGAGAAAACAAAATTTTGTTTTTGTTCCTGTTTTATTCAACTCTGTTATCCAGTGACATTTCCACTCTAAAATACATATTTGACCTTTCTGACATCATATTTGAGGAAGTGGCATGTCTTTATCAGTGTATCTCGCAATTGCGAGTTTGTATCTCAGAATTGAGAGTTATAAAGTCCAGTCCAAAAAAGACTGATATTCTCTGCAAATTGCGAGTTTATAACTCTCAATTGCGAGTTTATATCATGCAATTCTGAGAAAAACAAAAGTCAGTATTGCGAGTTTGTATGAGGCAATTGTGAGAAAAAAAGTCAGAATTGTGAGATGTAAACTCACAATTGTGAGAAAAAAAGTAAGAATTGTGAGATAAAAAGTTGCAATTACCTTTTTATTTATTTATTTTTTATTCAGTGGTGGAAACGGGCTTCCATAACAGACTGACAGTTTGTCTAGAACGAGAAAACAACACAGACAAGCGAAACACCTTTGTGACCTTGTTTATGCAGATTTTTAGAGAAAACAAAATTTTGTTTTTGTTCCTGTTTTATTCAACTCTTGTTATCCAGTGACATTTCCACTCTAAAATACATATTTGACCTTTCTGACATCATATTTGAGGAAGTGGCATGTCTTTATCAGTGACCTTGTGAAATGCAATATTTGAACTTCAGACATATTGCAGACAAAACAGTAGTGCTACCAGAATTACCTATTGAACTGTTGAAGTTTTATATGTCTGAATCTCAAATTTGTGATGGGGTTGAGATGATAATGCTTTGGTACTTTGTAAGGCGGAAACCACAATTAATATTTGGCCATTGAAAAACTCAGACAGTATACTTTTTGGACAACATTCTGAACGTGGGACATATCAGTGTTTGGATTAATGGGATTTTCTGTCTGTAGAGTAATTATATTCAATGCAATTATTTCTCATAATGTTGTACTCATTAGAGCCAACATT